ATATATATAATTATTTATTTTTCTTTAAAAATTATTTTTATTTCATATATTGTAATTATTTTCAAATAAAACAATCTCTATTTTATTGAATTTTTTATTAATGTTTATATAATTTTTATTATGAAAGGAGACGTTGAATAATCAAAATTGTAGATTCGATTAGATCATGTCAGAGTTCCATCTTATTTAAGATTGATTGAGGAAACTGAACAAATATATGTAAATATACTCAAAACTCTTCAAAACATCTAAATCAAAGATATTTAAGTACAATCACTAATTTGATGTTTTAGGATCTATTTTATATACTTAAACCAACTTAACAACTTTATAATTCTGTTTGTGGTTTATTATGCTTTGTAGCTGGAGTTGATAAATCTATCACAACTGACTATTTATTTTTATAATAGAGAGATTGGGTAGCTAGTTAGAGTCAATTCTGTAAAAGCTATGAATAAATAAATACAATTTTATCTAATCTGTAATAAAATCTGATAAAAAAGAAGATCAATATTTCTAATATTAAAGAAGCTCAGAAGTATTATAAAGAAGAATTAAAAGTTTAAGTTAATTCAGTATCAGATAAACTTGAAAAGATTTTGACTTTGTCAATTAATTATTATACTTCATTCTATAAGATAATCAAACTCAATTAAAAGTATGAGTTACAATCAAAGACACCTCAAGAAAAGAGTTCAGATGAATTAAAATCTTATATGTTATCAAAATTAAACAATAATTTTTAAGATGATGAATCAGAAGGTAAAGTTGAAGAAGAAACTTAAATATAAAATGAATTAGTTTAATAAATTCCACCTACTCCTAAGGAATAACCTACTCCTTTTAAAATGTTGAGTAGATTTAAAGATTTTAGTTCTTATTAAAAAGGCATTACTGAGGATTAAAAAATATCAAAAAGTCCAAAATTACCAAGTTATTCAACTACTTCAAAAAAGTAATATTACTAATCTAAATCCCCTTTATAAAGTTATAATAAACAGTAAGAGGTTAATAATCCTAAAAATGAGTATATGAGCTTTTAAGATAATGTAAGTGTTAAGAGTTTCTAAACTTAACCTTAAGAGTAATTCAATAGTCCAAAGAATAATTAAACTAATAAAACTGCTTAACAAAAATCTTCATAATCTAAATCTCCTGTAGTTGCTATTAGATAGAAAGTACCTTAAAAGAAACATATTATTTAATTACCAGAAGCTCCAAATTTAAATAAAATAGTTGAATAAATACAAAGTAATGATCCTAATATTGAAAAATAATTAAAATAAGAATTAGATATGGTTTAAAAATAAATCAAAAAATTAGAAGCCACTAAAAAATAATTAGAATGGCAAGATTAAAGATAAGTTATAATTTATCATTTATTTTTAGAGTAAGAAAATTAGAGACTAATATGAATAATAATATTTGAGTGAATAATTAGAATAAAGTAAACAGTTCTTAGAAAATAGATAAAAATTTAAAGAAGAATAAAATGCAAAATTAAAGAGTGAATTTAAAAAGTAGATAAAAATAAAGAATGAGGTTTAAGACTTCTAATAGTAGAGAGTTTGGAGTTTATTTAAAGAATTATAGAGAAGTATAATATAGAAAGAAGCATTATAAAAAGATGCTTTGTAGATGGAATAATTGGTTTGTATAAAAAATTAAGGAATTTAAAAATATTGAAAAATCTAAATAAATATTTTAAATAATTAATCATCAATGGCCAAGTCTAAGAATGCAACAAGTCATCATAATGCCCGTAAACATCACAGAAATGGTATTAAGAAGCTTCCAAATCAAAGATATACATCATTGAATGGAGTAATTAATCTTATAAAATAAAGTGCAATTAAAGATTCGCAAAAAATAGAAGATTTGCTATTAAGAATGATCCATCCATCAAAAAGAATAAGAGTCTTGAAACAAGATTGGCTAAGAGAAAGGCTGGCAAGAGCAAGAACATCCATTGATCATGAAATACACATAAAATTATCATACATTAAATTGCTAAATTCATTTGTATAAAGTGTCAAATATTGACAATGGATTTGTTATTATCAAATCCTAGTTTCTAATAGATGAGATTATTGGTTGAAATCAACACTTATTATCTTTCCATTAATTATTTAAAGTCATTTTTTAAGAGACTGAATTAATTAGTGATTTCTTCATTCAAACTATTCTCATCTTATTTAGTTTTATGTTATCTATGAGTCATTTTAAAATTAATTAAGGTTTATTTTAATCTAACTATTAATTAATGATGTTATTTTCTAGTCAAAGTTCCATTTCTAAAATAATTTTTGAATATATATTTACTTATAACCAAGAGCAGCTTTTGCAGTAAGTATAATAACTAAAGCAGCTTCATGTTTAAGTTTTTCTCTCAAAGCAACTCTCTCTAAAACTGTAATTGCATGACCTTCTAATGAAGTAACCTTTAGAGATTCAATTAAAGTAACAACCATAACTGAAACTACAAAGATACCAAGTACACAAACTATAAAGATTACAAATCTGCCTAAATCAGTTCTAGTGTAGAAATCACCATAACCTACAGTGGTTATTGTAATAATAATATTCCATAAAGCATTTTAAAACACTCCTAAATTATTGCTTGTTGGATCATTTCTTGAGAGTGGTCTTTCACAAATCCTTACAGCATATCCAAAAATACATATTAAAGATATCAAAGCAATAAATAAGGCAGTGTATGGCATTGTTCTTAATAGAGATTTTGCCACAAACATATAATTAGATTCACAAGCATATAAATTACAAACTCTTTATGTTCTGTTATTATACCAGAAAGTAAGAGTTAAGAGAGTTCTATATAAGTAAATGACTCTGCAAATCATAATTAAAGCTAAGATTTCATTCACATGATAATAGGCTTCACTCCCTTAAATTGGATTGTAAAAGTTAACTCTAATTCCTTTAGTAAATGGAAGAGGAACAATACAATAAACAGCTAATTCTATAAGCATTGGTAACCAATCATCAGTATGCCAGATTTAATCTCCAGGAGCCATTGATTTTCTTGATTTCATCCATTCAATATGGGCTTAATAACGATAAACTGTTAAAAAAACCAATAGACATGATGAAACAAATACTAACCATAATAACCATAATGAAATCTAAAATTATCTTTAATATTACATCTTTCATAGGATCTTCATTAGTAAATTCTTCATATTCTAAATCATATTAGATAACACTAATTCCTAATCCCATTAAATTGAATGCAAAACAAACCTACTCCATAAATAAAAATTTGTGAAAATACATTTTTGTCACCTATCAAATATTCCCAGATATTACTTTTCCATCTTCCAATCCTCCTAATTATTAAGAATTTGCCATAAAAATTTCTGCAAGTGATATTTTATTTTAATCTGCTTTCCGTACCAATTGATCATTCTCTTATTATCTTCTATTTTAGTTTTACTAATGAAAATAATAATCATTAATAATACATTGTTCATTTTGGCTGTTAATCCTCCAGTTCTTCCTTTCATTGATATTATATTTTTATATTATTATTATATTTCATATAGTTCCAAACTCAATTTTAATATTCAAATGTCACTATCTTTTCTTTGAGTAATGGAACCTACATAAAAATGTCACTTCTTTTCTGATAAAATCAAATTCATCTTTTCCATCAATTATTTTGAAATTTTCTCTTATTATTCCAATTTCTCCATTAATAAACTCACATCCAAATTTTACTCATTTCTTAATTACTTTAGATCCAATCCAATATGGTTTATAATATTTTCAGTTTAATTGTCCATTCCAAATTTACTTTATTGTTATAAAGCAAATCTAAAATTATGCATAGCTAATCTTAAATCTATCTCAATTTAATGTTATTTTTTTTCTGTCAATGTACCGTTTCTACAATTATTAATATTAATTTACCTCCATCTATATGCTTGTTACATACTTAATTTAATCACTTAAGCTGCTTCGTTTTTTACTATTTATCTTAAACGAATCCTTTCTAAAAGTGACATAGTCTAACTTTCAATTGGAGTAGCTTTAAGTGATTCTATGAAAGTCACAATCATGACAGACAATAAGAAGATTCCAACTATACATACAATTATAACTACAAATCTGCCTAAATCTGTTCTAGGATAGTAGTCTCCATAACCAACAAATGTTATTGTTATAATAATACACCAAACACTATTATAATATACTCCTAAATTATCAATTATATCATTAACTCTTGTCAATGGTCTTTCACATATTCTTAATTGATAGCCAAATACAAAAATAAGGGATAATAACATTAAAAATTATGTTAGGTAAGGAGATGTTTTTAAAAGAGATTTTATCACAAACAAATAGTTATGTTCACAAGAATAGAAATCGCAAACTCTTAATGTTCTATTGCTGGACCAAAATGTCAATGTTAAGACAGTCCTATAGAGATAGACAACTCTAATGACCATTAAGAGTGTAAGCATTTCATTGATATGATAATAAGCTTCTGCACCTTAAGCAACATTATAAAATGAAATCCTCATAGTCTCTGTGAATGATAACGGTATTAGACAATACACTATAATCTCTATTATCATGTAGAAGTTTTCATTGATATCATAGAATTTTTCTCTTGGTCCAATTACTCCTCTTGACTTTAACCATTAGATTTTTGTCTAATAACGATAAAATGTAAAGTATATCAATAGAATAGTTGAACCAGCTATCATCCATAATAGCCATTATGAAATCTAATTTATATGTTTTCTATACATCTCTAAATGGATCATCTGAATCATATTCTTCAAATTCCAATTCATATTAGATTGCTCCTAAAAATATCCCAACAAGGTTGAACACAAAACAAACCTGCTCCATGAATTCAAATTTTAGAAAATAAAGATTTGTAACCTAGTTGTAGAAGTAAACATACTCTTCCATCCTCTAAACCCTTAGGTCCTATTATTTTCATTTTTAATTATATATGAAAAATAATCTTATCATTTTTTATTAACACATTCATAAATCATATCAAGTTTCTAAATCAAAGCAATCTAATAATTACTAACAGCTGTAATTAGTTTAATTACTTATCCTAATGCCTATGAATTATTATTAAACATTTGAATCATTTCGAATTAATATGGTATTTATTATATCTTATCCATGTATTTTTATTATACAGAACCTTAAATTATATTATTAGATTGTATATAAATGGGATTTAATTCAGAATCATTTTAAAATTAAAGTTCTTTATTCTGAAATTTTTATGAAGATTAATTAATAGAATTAGATAAATTATTTTGTGTCATTGAATGGGAAGTACAATTTACACCATTAGAATATGACTGTTTCTATTATTATTTTATTGATTCTATAGCTGAATTATAATCTGTATTTTCATGTGGTTAAGTCTAAAATTAATGTTAATTATTTGATGTCTTAATTTCAACCTATTACTTTTATTTATTAGACTATTCATGAGATTATGAAGTAGAATTTATTATTTATCCATCTTTTTGATACCCTTCTGATAAATTTGATTCTGATTATTATTAATTTATATAAAGAGAATTTTAATCCTATTTTTATTAAACATTATATTAGAGTTAATTTTTTTTTGTAAGATTCATTTATATAATATTCTATTTCTACTCAGATTATTTTATAATTCCATTTTAGAATTTCTAATTTTATCCAATTTCAAATAATTTTTATTATATGGGATTCTTAATCTTTTTCTTTTTTAGATGAGTCAGATCTTATAAAGTTAATTGTTTATCATTTATATTAAAATTTGTTTATTTTTATTTTTTTTCCTTTTTTGAATTTTTAATTATTTAATTTTACTAATTAACCTAATCATTAATAAAAATTAAGGATTTACTTTGCTATTATTCATTATTTTGTTATTCTATTAATTTTATTTAACTCATTCCTTATTAATCTTTTTCCTTTTCCAAATGTATTAAATTTTAATTTTACTTATTTTATTATATTAATTGTTCTAATTAATCTTAATTATCATCTATATTTTAAGATATACTAATATTATCATTTTACATATTTGCTAATTCTTTTATAAGTTAATTTATATTCTTATTTTCTTAGGTTTTACAATCTTCATATGATATTTATTATGATTATTTGAAAATTAAATTATTTTATTTTTTTTAATCCTTTTCAATTATTTTATCTGTGTAACTTTATTTATTTTTATCAATAATTTTCTTTTATTTTGATACCTAGTTATCTTTTAAATCAATTGATGATTACTTGAATGATGTATTTATTTATTTTTACTAAATATCTTCATCCTTGACTAAATTTTATTAATTTATTAATTCTTTGTTTTTCATATTGCTTCCAATAAGTTAACATTCTGTATCTTCAATATTTGATAAATCAATTTGAAAATCCTATTCAACTCTTTCTTCTAACCATTGACGAATTGTTTATAATGGGATTTTAAGTATATAGCTCACATATTTAATATCTACTTCATCTGGATTGTCTCCCAATTTATCTAATGCAGATAGTTTTAAATCTATTTCACTTTAGGTTTATAAATTCATCAGAATATTTTGATTAATATTTTTTGGGTTTGTGAAGTACTTTTCAAATTATAAACATGAGAAATGGTCTTAATTTTTTTGTTTATTATTATATATTAATATGTAAGGAGTAATAATTGAATAGTTTGCTGGAACTTTAAATCATGCATTAAAGGAACTTATTAGAAGATAACTGCATTCAATGAAAGAGTTCGATGAACTTAGTGCTGAATTTTAGAAACATACTGATAAAATGAAGAATACTCAAACTTATTAACCAATGATTGAGATATTTACATAAATAAATAAATGGATGATTGATAGATTAGAAAAGGGATAACATTTTACTGACTAAATCATGACTCAAAAAAAGAGTTATGATACAATAGGTTAATAAGAAAGAAGTGTATATTTAGAAATTTGTAAATTGGATTTAAATCGCTTAAATAGTTTGAAATAGTGTTTCTTTCATTATCAATAATAGTATATATATTATTGACAATATTTGATAGTCTTAAGAAGGAATGGTAAAGAGACTTTGTTGAATATTAATTGTTATATTTAACATGTTAAGAATTTTAATTAGATTATCCTTAATTATTAGCTGCAATATAAAAATTAGAGGATAAGAACAATTTATTATTAGACTTATTTAAATCACATAACAAAGAAAGAGGATTTCTTTATTAATTTTATTTGAAATATGCAAAATTAAGAGTGTAATACTTTGAAGCTACAAAATACAATGGTGAATAATTAAAAAAATTAGCTGTGATTATTCAAAGAAATAGTAATGGTTTGGTTAATATGATTTAGAATGATTAAACACTTTAACATGATTAATTATTTTTAGAATTATAGAAATCAATAAATTTTCATGTTGAAATTCATTAAGAAATTTTAGATATACTAAATTAACTTATTAAATTTGCAGAACAATCTAATGATAGTCTAAAATCTAAATATACAAAATATATGCAATTAGTATTAGAAATGTAATCAACTTCTAATTAAACTCATTTCCATGATTGTAAAATTATTATATTAATATATTCTTAGATTTAATGTAATAAATGAGTCTAACTTTATCAGGAATGGTATAATCCAATATTGTTAGAGATAGATGTTTTAATAATTTTATTATTGAATTAAGTGAACTCATTTATTTTAGAATTAATAATTTGAATTGCAAAGCAAATGACAATTTAAAAGAAGCAGTCCAATAATACAATAAGAGTAGTTATAGTGTTACTTATTTAAGATTAACAATTGCATCATTAAATGAGAGGAGAATAATAATGGAATGATATGCTTATGAGGCAAAAAGAAATTTATGAGAAATAATTGAAAGAATATTCAAATGTCTTATAATTCAGAAAATAAAGTTATTTAAAAGATTAAAGCAGATTTTGCAATAATCCAAAAGTTATCAATCTATCTGCTTTAGATTTACCATTGACAGCCAAAGAATTTTTCAATTTGTTTCTTAGCAATGATGAATAAAACTTTTTTGCTTAATTTAAAACTAATGTGATGAAAGAAATCTAAGTTAAATATACTTAATATGACCCTGCACCACCTAGTTTCTTTCTTCATGAAGAAAACTATGATATTAAAGAATTGATTGATTAATGTTAAGCTAGCAAAAGAGTTATTACTTATAAATAACCTAATAGAGATAAACTCAAATTATTTAGTCCAGAATTTGTTAATTGTAAATGTGAATAATTTGTTTACTTCATAAGTGATGCTGAAATCATGGTTGAACAAGAAGTATTTAATGATGCTAATCAATATTGCTCTCTCAGAAAATATATGCATATTATTTAAACCAATAATAATGAAGTCACTTTACAGTACTGTTATATTTATTCATTTTAGTTATGGCTATTATAAGCATGAAATTAAGTTTAATATCTTTGGAATATTAGATTTCTTTTAAAATTAAGAAGAAAAGGATATCTATGAATAATAATTATAACCTGCTATGGTTAAATGTGTCTAATAGTATTTGTAAAATAAAGAAACTCTTAAGGAAGAGAGAAAAAAACAATTTATTCTCAATAATAATATAGATTATATGCTTAATTAATAAATGGAAGTCAATCCATAGCCATATTAACCCAATATTCCATTTATAAAATAAGCAAATTAATTGGCATCTAATAAATGGACCATGGCTAATATGTTAAGTTAGGAGAGTCTTATGAAATTAATATTTTTATTACTCCTTTTGAATTTTTTCAAACCACAAGTAGTTTGATATATATTTATTAAACAATATATAAAATATTATTAAATAAACAATTCATTAAACTATAATCAAAAAGGAATTGATAAAAATCATATTATACTTTTTATTTTTTTTCTGATTATATGGATTGAGATTTGTATTTTTAAGAATAATAATATTTTTATAGAATAATAAATTAATCTATTTCTAACATTCATATTTTTCTACCTATATAAGATTGAATATGAGTTATACAAACCTCAACAAAACCAAAGTAAAATTTTAATTAATCTAATATACCAAACATATATCTATATCAAAATTTCAAACCTTAGAATATTAAATCTAAACCTTATTTGAATTTGCAATTAAAAAGTTTCTTAGCTATAAAAAGCAACAATGAATTTTAAGAACAAAAATAAAAGATATTAATTTCTTATATAATTAGAAATTTCTTAAAAGTTCTCCTAAATAATTAAAGTGAAAATAAAAAAGTAAGAATTTTGATATTAATTTTGAACATTTGAGTAAATTTTATATTCTCTATTATATTCTAATTTTATTAATTTATTTCAAAGGAATTTCAAATATAAAATGCTTAGAATTATCGTTTTATGAAAATTAAAATTTCATAAAAATTATAATTATGGAAATATTATCAAAATATTTTATACTTCTCTTCTCAAATAGAATGCAATGTTTTCAGGTATCTTAACAAAGTTCTATATGAAATTATGGTTAGATACTTAAAAAGTAAAAATTATTTCTCTATTAAATCAGTGTTGTAAATCTGCAAATAAAGCCAACTTATCTTAAGACAAGTTTCAATACCTTTATTAATTTAAAATCTTACAACATGTAATAAAATATAGTTTATAAAAATAAAGAAATTAGAAATATTTAAATTTTGTAATTCTGTTCATTTAATGTACATATTATGTATATAAATATGTGGAATATTATTTCAAAAACCAATTTATTATTTTTATGTCTCATTTAGCACATTCTCAACTAAATGAATCTGAAATACAGAAAATAACCTATCCAAATTTAGCAGAAGTGAGATATGAAGAAAATACAGAGAAAGTATTTGTAGGTATTCCTACTCAAAATCAATATATCTAAAGTGGTAATAAATTCTATATATAATTAGGTATTCCAATTCCAACAGGTTTTCTTATCACTCCTCTGTATAATACAGATTCTAATGGTACTAATGTACCATATGATGCTCAAGGATCTATAATTCCTATTTCAATTTAGTGTAAATTTTGTAAGAGATCTGGAACTACCCTTATGGAACATAGAGCTGGTCCATAAACTTGGATTGTAGCATTTTTCATATTTATATTTTTCTTGCCACTTGTTTTTCTGCCTTTTGTATTGAAGAGTTGTAAGGATAGAGTTCATTATTGTCCAAATTGTGGATAATGTGTTGGCAAAAAGAAATTCAAACTTTGTAACAGTGATTGATAATATATATTTATTAAGATCAATAAGATAAATTAAATTATCCATATAATTAAAGATAGTATAAAAATATCATTAAGATATTTCATATTAATATAGAATAATTAATATAATAAAAGAACATTATCATTAAATATATAAAAAATTAGAATATTATAAGGAAACAGTTTGTCAAATTTTAGAATCATCATTTTAATCACTTTTATCTTCATCTTCTTCTTCACTGATTATTTGTTAACTATCTTAAACGTACTCATCTTCTGAGTTTATCAAAACTGACATTTATTTATTAACAGAATTAAGTTTAGGTATCACTTATTGTATTTCTCTTCTCCATAAAACCCTAAATTAATAAATTATATTACTGATGAGTAAAAACTATTTCATCTTATTCTTGCTAGAATATAAAATTAGGATGGTTTATTTTATTTGAATGGGGTTTACCAATTTTGTAATCATCAATTTTTACATCATAAACAAATTCAGAGGCTAATAAAATATCAAATATATCTTGACATTATTATTTTAATTTTTCTTCTAAATTTATTAATTTTTCATTAATAATCTATTGGTAATTAATACTATTATCAGGATTATTATCCTACAAATTTTGAGAATTTGTCTAATTGTTTTATTCTTCTATCATATTATTCATCTATTCATTGACATTTATTTCTTCTTATTTTTATTCTATAACAGTTGAATTATTTTAATTTTATCTTTACTTTGTGTAGGATCTTGGAGAATTTCTTTTAGAATCCCATAATTCAGCAGCCTCCTTTAATTCACTAATATGTTTGCCATTAACAATTAAATTTAGAGGTTTTTATTAAATTTTATTCTAATTTTATATGGAATTTTCAAGAGCCTACTCTTATTTTCTTCGTTATTCTGATTGATATTCATACAACTATTATTTTTTAACTCTAATTATTTCATAAACTTCTTTCATAATTATAGTATCATCTGCAGGTCTTAAACTTAATGTTTTAAGAATTTTTTATTTTGGTTAAGCAAGTAGAATTGGTTCTTCAATTTATAACATAGTGTCTTCAGATTATCTTCTTGAATACATTTAGGGTTTGAATAATTAATTGAATTCTCTAAGTTTTTTAATAATTTTTTATTTTTTTTGCTTCTCAATTTCTTTTTGTATGAGATCTTATTCTTCTTCTTCAATTTATGCTTAATCAGTGATTTTTGATTTTTCTTTTCTTCTTCTTCTTATATCATCATTATCTTTAATATTAGAATTTTTTAAAGATGAATCCATTATTTCAGATAAACTAGATTATTCTGATAGATTTTTCTCATTTTTTGTTTATTAATTTTTCTTTCTTTATCTACTTTTTTTATTAGAAACTTTCCTATCAGGGATAATTTATTCAATTTTAGGAGATTCTTATTTAATAATTTCTTATTAATGGACAATATTTGGTTCAGTTTTGATTAAATCTTCAATTTATTAGATTGTTGTTGGTTATTCGATGGGTTCATAAATTTCAGTAGTTTTATGGCTCAATATTTTTGGAGTAGTTCTTTTAGATTATTATATTTCTTAAATGATCTAATCAGCTATGATTTCTAATTTATTTTCAAGAAAGTTTTCTATTGTATCTTCTTTGATTTAATAATATTCATTGTAATCACTCATTTAAATGATATATTTTTCTGGTATTTTAATAGTAAAAGCTTTTTCATGAATTCTATTTACAATTTCTGCATATTATTCTATCATTGTTGTCATTCTAAATATAAGTATAATAATATATACTTTAAATCATAATTAAATCTGTCATCTTTTAAAAATGTTTCCATTTATTTCAATAATCTTGATTGAATGAGTTCACTTGAAATTACTTATTTAGTAACAACTTTATTGTTTCCAAGAATAAATATTTCCATGGCTTTCATTGATTTTTCTAAAGATTAATGAATTTAAAAGTATACTTTCTGTCTTAACAGTGTATTTGTTAGAACATAAAGACTTATTCAATAATTCTTCATTTTTTATTTATTGAAGTAATTCCAATTCCTTTAATGAAGATGCTATTTTAGTATTGCTCATTAAATTAGATTTTTAATTGTTTTTTTTGAGGAAGGCATCAACTTTCTTTTTGAAATCGGAAACCATAAGTTTTTTTTATAGCTCATTATATTTTGAAAAGCTTAATTCTTGTTTACTATGGATTGATAATAGTAGTAGTACATAGAGGTTTTTGAATTGTCTTTATTTTCTTTGACATTATAAATTGTAGTATGATTGTAATAATTATTTGAATCATCCTTCTTATTGGAGAGGGCATGCTTGGATCAGAATAACAAAAATTAATTACCAGTTTTTGTTAAGCTAAATTCTTTTTCGTTCGCGAAGTACGTAATTCTTAAGAGAGACTAAGTTAAAACTCTCTGTGTACTTTAAATAGTGATTGGTATTAAGATTAGGTAATCGATTGTAACGAGTAGGTTTAATTCCCAAATACTCCACACTAAATTGTTAATTCATATTATTAATTAAATTTAATACAAGAATTTTTATGTTCATACTTATGAGTATGTACTTAATTGGTTGTTATTCAAAAATTCATTTCTTAATATCCTAATTTATTAATTCTAATCAGAGAATAAGATAGAATTTTTATTGAATTATTAAAAAGTTGAAATTGCAAGATATGAAGACAAATATGTCACAATATTAATTATTTAAAAATACTAGGACAATTAATTATTAAACTAATAGATGTAAAACAAGACTTGAAATATTTTAAAAGGCTTATATTTAATGTATTTTTATGAATACTATCAAATTTAATACAATAGATTATTTATGGGATTGTATAAATTTAAAAATAAACGATGTATTTAGATAATTGCTTACAAAAGTTGTATTTTTTATTATTTAATATTAAATATCATCTTTTACCTATAAAGTTAATATAATAGAAGTAAAGTATAATCATTGTGCAACTAATGACTTCATTAATTATTCCATAATGAAAGAGTCAATAATATCCATTGTACTTATCATATATTAATGATTAGATCGACTTCACCTAAGATACTATATTAAAAAGATTTTGGATATATTTACAAATGTATTCCATCATCTTATTGTTATGTGTTCTTTGTTATAAAAATTCATCTTCTACTTAAATAGTATAACCAATAATCTATATTTATTATTCAAGATTTCAAGCAATGCATAAATAAAAAAAATGAGATACAAAATTACTGTAATATAACCTATCAATATTGATTAATTTAGATCAGAATTATAATGTAATAATATATTATAGATTTTCATCCTTTAATATTACCTTTACTCTATATATATCTTATAGATATTCAATTTTTCATTATGCTTTTATTTATCTCATTCAAATTTTATTTTAATAAAATATTTAATTATTAAATTTGTGGTGAAATGAGCAAAGTAGATAACAAAAAAATATTCGCTTTGATGACAGGAGCAGCAGTCTTAACTGGGACCAGCATTCTACTTTACAGATTTTTGAAGAAGTCAGATGGGTATGTATCTTTATTTATGGAATAGGAAGTCAATTATTGAACCTTAAGTTATTGATAGGGAAACAATCATTAAAGTTTTAAAGGAATTAAAGAAAGAGCTTTTCACTGTATTTCAAAATTTTGCAGCTGTTGCTATTAATATTAAACAATAATCAATGGGAAGAGCCAGACCTGAAGATATTAAAATGATGCTTTTAGAATAACGTAAGACTTAAAATAATATCTAATATAGCCATGTTTAGAGGAGAAATAGAATAAGTTGAAGAGATGGTCTATAACTAATTTAGAATGACTAAATAATAAGTTGAGCATTATTGTCAAAATGTCTATCGTGATGATCCTACTATCAAAGAATTACAAAAATAAATGAAAGAATCTTTCGATAGATCATTTTCTGGTTAATCTCCAGATCCTAAAACAGATATACCAGCCTTTCTTACAGCTGATACAACTTTTGAAATTCTTGAGAAAGTCATGACTGAAAGTGCCTTGAAATTGAATGAAAAATTGTTAGAATTACAAGATAGAGGTGAATAAATCAATTTCTAAAGTCCTAAAATGATGGAAATTATGTAATCTCTCAAAATGGATAGTTCTAAGTAAAATCTTTAACTCATACTAGAAAGGATATCTTAGAATAGTATGGATTAAATAAATTTGAAGATCCAGGAAGCAAAATTTTATAATATGCCACCTAAGTTTATAGTCAATAAGCAAATAGCAATTTCAATATTAAAATGAAATAATTGGATATGAAATATCAATCTATTATGGAATAACTTATTATGCAAGGACCAATGAGTAATGAAGAATTGAAATAAAGAATGGAATAAGTTCCATAATAATAAGCATCATTCCCATTCTAAGGTTCTTAAGAACCATAAATTCCTCTTAAACAGGAAGAATAGAAATAATAAGAAGAATAACCTAAAGAAGTTCCTTTGGAAAAAGTAAATGATGAACCTGAAAAATAAAATTTAGAGGAATAATAATAATAATAATAAGAATAATAATAAGAAGCAGAAATTCATGTAAATCAACCATAAGAATAACCAGTCCTAGAATAATAATAGGTTTAGGAAGAAAACCAATAACTCAATTGAGTATTTTTATTACAAATATGATAAATATTAATATTAATTATTTGATGAATACCCAAAAATCTGGTATTTTAAAAGCATCCAAAAAAGATATCCAGACTTCATAGAGATGTGATAAGTTTAAGAACATTATTGCTCAAGGATCAAAAAAACATAGAATTGCATTCATAGATGAGATAGACAAATAATAATCTCTAATCTAAGTGTATGAGGTAGAGAACTGGAAAATATATAATGTTGAGGAACCTTTATAAGATGCTAAATAATCATGCGGATGTATCATCATTTGATTCTATATAATAAATTCACTTCTACATATCTCTCATTTACTTATTTTAATTGTATTTCATAAGCAAATCTATATCTTATCTAAATCCTTATTTATTTCCTTAAATATACTTCAATATAATAATTATTAAATAGATGTTCAGTTATTTAATCATTTTTACATGGTCTTAATTATTTTATGTTATTTTATCTTAATAAAGTTCTAAATATAGTCTATATATTTAGAACTTAATCAAATTTGTTATAGATATCTTTTGAATAGCATGATGGGCATAAATAACTTTATATTCATTACATATCATATTCATAAATAAAAAATCAACTTATTTTATTAAATATTTTTATCATCAAATAGAAAGTTACATGTTAATTACTTTTGTAATAATAATACATATATGATCATGAAATAAAGTATAATAATTATATAAGAATTAGAATTTATTATTATACTTATTCTAAACTTTAAAATATATTTGAAATCAATTTTCATAATAGTTAGAATTTTAAAATTAGTTTTTAATTTATATTGTATAGTTTTTTAATAATTTAATGAAATATCAAACTATTTATAATTTTAGTTGAATATTCATTTTAAATTCTCTTATTATGATATTGATGTTGAATATATGTAGAATTAAGAAAAACTATTAAATTATTAATCTAAATTTAATTATTATTTTTTATCAATATCATTGCAAATACTTATTGGACAAATATTAGTTAAAAGAATAAGTGAGCATAAAATTAATTAATTAAAATTATAATTCCTTAATCAATCATGTAAATTGTAAATATTAAATTTTGAATAAAGATGAGGAAATTTGATTCATATTTGTATTGTATTGTATTAAATAAATAAAATAAAAATGAATGAATAATAATAACCTACTAGAGAAACACCAATGCTTTTGAACATATCAAAATTATCAAAAGGATCATTATAGAGATATCAAGTAAAATTATTATCTAATTTGATATAATTAGACATATTATTAGAAAGAGTAGCCATTCTTAGATTAAAATAACACATAAACATTAGAATAAAAAGTTTAGAGTCATTTTGAATAATTGAAATTAGATGATAAAGTAGTGTTGGAGAAATTTCTAAGATTAAAAAAGGATGAAACATAAGCAGCTTTAGCTAAAAGAAACCCTCGTAAAAAACCATGATTTGTTTATAAATTATCAGAAATCTAAACTTTGTTTTTTTAATTATATAAGTCCTTTTAATGGATATAGTTTTGTTAGGGCTTTTCTTAAATTGATTAGGTCCTCGACTTATTCAAAATGTTTTAGCTGTTCTTCATATTTTTGTGTTTATAGAGTAGGATCAATGATTTTCAAAATTGAGATCTAGGATTCAATCATACCCACAATAGCTCCTTTATTCCATCCTTTAATATATGAATCATTGTATATATTTGCATCTACTTTAGCTTTTCCTTCCTTCACTCCTTTTTAAAATGCTTATTCTGCTATCTAATTTGGTATGAAAGCAATATTATCAAAATCATCATTCATAATTTTATATATATTGATCATTTCTTCAATTCTAAATATTCAGCATAAGTCATTTTAGCTTTAGATGTTTCATAAGTAGTCAATTGAATCTTATCTAATATGTTTTAGTAATTCTTTCTGTATCCTGCTTTTGCAATCAAATGTTCCAAAGTTGTATTAATATCCCAACCTTCTTCAGCTGCTACTTCAGGTAAAAATGTAGCTCCATATTCTAAAAAGGATTAGATATAGTATATAATGATTCAAATACCTCTGCCCCCCTCTTAAAAATCAATAATAATTCCATGTTTTCCTACTTCCCATTAATTCCATTTTTTTCCTTTCTAAAAATTCACTAATAAACTCACTCCAACATCTAATGAATTTAATTCTTTAGTCTATATTGGAGGGAACCTGCTATCCTTAAATGCAGATAAATAAGTGTATTTAGCTAATTGTTGACTCAAAGGACCAGACGAAAATGTTCCTATACACCCTCTCAAATCTTCTTTATTTGCATAAAAAGTAATAAAGACAGGAACATCAAATTCTTAGAAAGTTGGCTTAGGCAATTCTTTTTTTTGTAAAGATGCAATAAGGACATCAAAACAATAAGCACAATGTATTGGGAGAGCTTAATTAATTTACATAATAATATGATTGACTATTTAAAAAAAGAAAACCTAATTGAGCCGGGATGTATATATCTTAAAAAAATTTAAGCTGATAAGGTAATAGTTTCAGAAAAGATTGAGAGAAAAATATTTGAGAATATTTAAATGGAGCCTTAAGAAAAAGAGTAACTAAAAAATTTAAAGTTAGCCTTGATTAACTTTTCACCATTGAGATTACCAAAAGAGTAATATTCATTTATATTTGAATAGATGGTAAGATAGTGATTACTTAAGAATCTTAGCATATTGTGATTATGATATAACAAACACCATCCAAGTACTATATATAGATATAACCATTAAGGTCTTAAAGTAACATCTAAATTGGAGAAATAAGATTAATTTATAAAATCCTCCAAATTCTGTTTTAGTATGTTTTTAATTAGATTAATAAGTTAAATGGGGCACTTTACATACATGGACATGATAAACGTTTTCGACCAGTAATTATAATTAACACATATAAAGCTTTCAAAGTAAAATATATAAAGTATATTGTTATAGTACACTCTAAAAGAATTTAGAGAGGGTTTTGATTATCTATTCACTATGCTAATTAGAGATGTTTTGATATCTTATTATATTGAATCAACAATAATTTTAGTAGATATGGGCAATTTAAATTAATTATAACATCTAATTACAAATGAATTTATTAATTTCGTGAAAAGTAGTGAATACAATTATTATGGAAGAATTCATAAAATATATATTATCGAAGAATTTTTAAATTAACAATTCAATCAATTACTTTAAATCTTAAAACCTGAATCATAAGATAAAATAGTCTTTCTTTTAAAAAAGAATCTATCTCAATTAACTAATTAAATTGAAGAAAATTAATTAGAATCTAAATTTTTAGGTTTTTAACCAGATATTCAAACTAATTTTTGGTAAATAGATCAAAATATAATTAGGCCTCCTAAAGATCTTTCACCAAATAAAATAGAAAAAAAGGATAAAAAAGAAGAAGCAAAGACTATAATGACTTACACTGATGAAAATATTTCAAAATCTTAAAAATTCTTACAAAGAAGTCGTCCTGAAAGTAGTCTTAATAGTCAACTTTTTCTTTAAGTTTATAATGAAGAATAAGAAGTTGTTTTATCAGAGAGCCACCTCATAGAATTTGCTGATTCAATGAACAACATAATAGAATATGTAAGAAATAAAATAAACTTCATAGTTTCCTGATTCTCAATTTTAATCATCCAATCAAAATTATTACAAAGGCTTAGATTCTACTCCATTATAGTCAACAACAATAAAACCTAGAGATTTGTAATAGTAGGAATCAGATATTCGGAATAGTTCCGAAGTTTAGATGAGTTCAAATCTAGTAATATAACATCAAACTCGAGATCCTTGTTGTCAAAATTCTTCGATCTGTTAATTAATTTGACTATATGAAATAATAATTACAATTTAGTGATTTTAGATATAGAAACGCTGATGATATTAAGATTAATAATATATATCATTATCTTAGTCTTTCACTAAATTTTGTGTGAGTTGTATAAAATGTTTACATAAACCCATCACTTACAGATTTACCATTTTTCTTTGTTCCTAAAATTATAAGAATATATATATACCATCTGAGTTTTATTTATAAAAGTTCGTAGCAGTCCTACCAGTTTAAGCAACTAATCTCTCTCTTGGCATTTTATATCTATTTAATTTTAATTCAATTACAATTATTCTAAGGATCCTTTATATGCTTTAGTTTCTAATGATCTTTTCTATAATTTCACTGGAGGAAAATAAGCTGTTTTACCTCCACCTTGCTTACCTTATTCTTTTTGAGTTAATAATTATTAATTGAAGAGATCAATAGGATTACTTAATTAAATTTTAAAATATTACTTAGATGTGTTATTTGGTATTTATATTTAAGGTTAATCAGCTTTTGATGATTTAGGTGTATCTGGAACTCCAGTGACTAAAAGATTTTCAATCATTTTAACATTTTTAAGTTAGATTCTTTCTGTCTAGGCATATTATTAAATAGGACTATCTCTTTTATATGGATTTAATTAAGATATCCCAGCATTAAATTAGACTTATTTAGATTCTGTAAGATGATTAGTATTATTTAGAATTGCTTTATTTTTTTTTAATAAAATGGATTATTGAGTAACTTATTAGTCATGATCAGGAATATTAATATTTTCAGAAGGCATAAATTATTATCTAGTTTATTGTAAAATTTAAGCATCTGTAATTAATTGGTATTCAGCCTTAGTTAATCTAATTTATGATGCAAATTATGATGCATCTTCTCCAGATAGTAAATTGGAACCAGATAATTTAATTTATAAATTTTCAGCTGAATCACTAATTTAATGTCTTACCCCTTCTTTCATTTTTTGTTCAAAATATAATTTTACTCCATTATTCATTGTAAATACTTCATAAGGAAATTAAGAAGTCTTATCCACTCTTAATGCTTTATCTCCAATAACTTCTTTTGCAGCATCCCTCCTTTCTTATATTACCTTATATGTTAATAAAGTACTCTATTAGGTATATCCTATTCTGGACATTAAGGTTTATTAACTTTAGTAGAATCTCTTCTTCCAACTTTCTTAACATTTCGTTATTGCTCTTATTTAGTTTACTCTTTTAACTCAACTTTCAATTTTTAATTAGTTGGTTATAATTTATCCATTTTAATTGCTCTAGCCAATATAATCTTCCCATCAAAATCATAAGTATATTTCTAAATGGCTCCATCCTTTTTTTCTATCTACTTATATTATTAATTCTTTTACTTGACTTTATAATTTATCTTCTTTCTTTTTTTATTCAATTTCATTCTTTTTCTTCATTTCATATAATTTAGCATTTCTAAGTTTATCTTCATACTCATCCTCAAACTCTTCTTAATATACATATATTAATTTAGCCTCAAATTAATTTGGAGGAGGTGGTGTAGTAGGAAGTCTAACTGTATTTTTTCTAGTATCAAATAATTTTGATTTAGAAATAGATTTGTTCTTATCATTATTTAATTAATCTTCAATATCAATTTTATCTTAAGTTTCTACTTCTATAAAAATAAGTTATTATAATAAACCTGCCATCATTAAAACTCTATTTCTTCTCCATCTATCACTAAAGATTGGTTCCTAAATTAAACGTTGTTTATTACTGGTTCCTAATCTTCTTCTAATTGACAAGTTTCAACTTCAATACCTCCATCATTTAAATTGCTATTCAATATTAAATTAGTTTGAGCCTATATTTCATTAATTGTGTTTATTGGAATATTTCTTTATATAAACTGATTTATGTAAATATTCTATATATACTCTCTCTTATGCTTCTGAAATTGAATTCTTAATAATCTAATTACTCAATTGTCTACAAATTAATAAGGATTATATAAAGGTTCCATAATTAGATATAACTCCTGGTAATTCAGTATATATCTATAATATAATTATAATCATTTTACTTAATCAATATTATAAAAGAAACTCAAATGATCATCTTCTGAAAATTCAATCAATTCTCTTTCTGAAACATTGTCTCCAACACTAGCACTCATTTTTAAGATTATATGAATAATTAATAATAATAATAATAATAATAATAATAATAAATAATTAATGGGTTGTATGGAATTTTGGGTTGTAAACTGTTTTTTAGCAAGTGCAGCATTCGTAAGTTTTCAATCTTAAAATATAGTTCATATTGTTCTTAGTTGTTGATGCTAAACATCCATATTATCCCTATGCCTTTGCTTCTAAAAAAGTTGATGATGTGCTTACAATTGATAAAAAAGCGAGTGCGACTGCTTGTATTGTAGCTTCTAGTGTAATAGTTCTACTATTGATTTAAGCTTTATCTTTTGATTGCAATAGGATTATTATTTTGGAAAATGAATAGAGATTAAAGAATAAAGGAAAGTTAACAATATCCTCGTTTTGCTGCTGCTTAAGGATATGATTAATAACAATATTCATAAAGAGGACGTTCAATTGAATTGTGATGAGTATTTTACACATATTATATATTTATCTAATATGATATTCTGCAAAAATGATGCATTGTAAATTTGATAAATATTTTGTATTATTGTTTATACATATATATATATTTTAATGTGAAATTACTCAAATCCAATGGATGAAGTGTGCATCTTTATGATATGGGTCAGCTAGTCTTTCTAATGGTTGATTAAATGTTCCATCCTTAAATATATATATTAAAAATACCCAATGTGCAATATGAGTTGAACGACCATGCCATTTCTTAAGAATATGTAAACACCAATTTGTATCATTATATAATAAATGAGCTGGTTGTTTTGCTCTCCAAGCAAGAGATTCTGATATTCTATTTTAGAAAGTAGGCATTTCTAAGAAATTTAATGCACTGCAAACATTATGATATTGATTAATATCTTTACTATTATCATATTAATTCTTATTTACTTTGTAAATCTATCCGATTGTGTAGATATTACAATTTTACCATGATAAGGTAAAATAGATGAAAAATGATCACTCAATTTGGCTAAGAAGATCCACATAACAAATACTCTTGCATAAAAATTACGTAATGGTAACTAATATATTTGTTATGATAATTATATACTTCTCTCAAAACTAAATATCCTAATCCAAATCCAGACAACCATTTAGTAACTGTCCATTCTCTCCAATAAGTATGATTTGGTTTAATATAAATATATTTGTTAATAAATTCTTCACATGTATATGATTAGAATGGTCTTGCTAACTAAATTAATCTAATGTTGTTATTACTTTTGATAAATCTTTCTTATATCTTTCACTTGCTTATAAAAAGAATTCTTTCTTGCTTCTATTAAACACTGGTGAAAAGTTTTCATCATCAAAGTCCAATGATTTCAATTCAATATTAGCAATCATTTTATCATCATAAGCATCCTTTTAATATAAATCAAAATATTACTTATTCCTCTTATGTTGGATGCCACAATTTTGCTTTTCCTTATACGACAGGCATAAATAATTAAATAAATAATTATATGATATTCTTAGAATTTTATCCTTGTAAATATCTATTAATATTTTACAGTATTACATAATAATCACTCTATTTCTAATTATAATTAGATATCATTAACTAAATCATTCTATTAATAAAAGTTATCCTCTTTTCATTAATTTAACCTAAAAGTATTTTATATCATAATTTAACTTATCATTTTTTAATCTAAAATTAATTCAAAACAATCTAATTTATCTAAAAAAATCATATAACTACTATTATATAAATAATTTTCATTAAAAATATGAAATACTAAATATAATGTAATCTCTTAGAATACTTTTTCATATAGATTTGAGTATGATTTGTCAATAATTATTAATAATATATATGAGAATCATGATTATTGTGATGAATTACTAAATTTATGGATAATAAATATTCTATCAATAATTTGATTTTATAATGGTTGTTACAAATGAAGAAATTAGGGAAGGTTTTTTAGATGAGTAAGGTCTTTAAAATTTGGCAGACAAATTAAAGAGTGAAAATGATGCAGGGAATTACTAATAAGTAGTGGAAAAGATTTAAGAATTATTCACATAAGAAGGATAATCAAAATAAAAATATTTTGCAATGAAAGTAATATCTTTAATGAAAGAATTAAGCTAATAATGTTATTGAGTAAGAAATAACTATTCATCAACAGTTTCAAAAAGGCCAAGAATTTCTTTGATATATTAGGGAAACTTGCATTATGTGATTAATAAAAACCTTATGATTAAAGAGGTTTAAAAATATTTGGGGCCAAAGAGGGTATTATATATTGATTCAAATAATAGATTCATACTTTAGTTAAGGTTTTTATGATATAATGATGGAATGTATTTCTTATTGGGGAACAAAGTATGCTACAGATTAGAAGGGTAATGCTACGATATTTGGTAAACTTCTTGAAAAGTTAAAGGATGAAGGATTCAAACCAAAAGTTAATTTATAACTATTTGAGTTAACAGAAGAGCAAATAGAGAAATTAAATAGTTTTAGTAAGCCAACTGAATAATTAAAATAAAAAAACAATATGAATGATATTAGTATAGATGAATTGAAAAAGATGTATCAAGAAATGTATAGTTAAACTAATGACTTGGTTGAGAGTTTAGAATAAAATTTAAAAGGAGAAGATTAAGCAACAGAGATTATGGATTAATGTAAATTTTTATTTTAAATTTATAGTGATGGAAAATGCATATAATGATGCAGAGAAATTAAAGCCAACATTAGAATTATTGCATGCACGTTAAAATGAATTAGCTGAAGGTTAAAGAAAATAGATAGGTTATAGATTTAAAATAATTATAACTTTAATTGAAGCTCATAAAGCTATGCGTGCAGAAGGATTTACTAATGAAAGCTATTAAATTTTTCGTTATGAAGTCTTATAAGTAACAAGAGATATTACAGGATCTGAAAAACCAAAACCACCTGCTAATTATGGAAAATCTGTTTAATAGTATACTAATCCTTAACAAGAATAAAAAATTTAACCATAATAGATTTAAAAGCAACCAATTTAAACTGAAAAAAGATAAGCACAAAAACCAATATAATCTTAATAAAATCCAATTGGAAGAGATCCTGAAATTTAAAAATAAATGCAGTAATCTATTCCTTATAATTCTTAAAATTAACCAAATTATTAACCCTAAACATAATTTAGAAATCCATAACCAATATAATAATAAAATAAATAATAGAATCAACCTTATTATCAACCAATTTAACCATATTAATAACCAATTTAACCTTATTAATAACCAGAAAAAAATATACAAAAACCACCTCCTTTTAAAAAATTACCTATTACTAAATCGTATGATAATCATTAAAGTCCAAATAAAGAATAATTTGATGATAATTATGATAATAGAAGTTAGAGTTCATAGTATTCAGGAAAAGATTTTTTTTTGAAAGGATAACCTGGATTAGTGTAAAAGATTTATGAAGGATAATTTATTCCTTATGATGAGAGAAATTTCATTATTTTTGAAGAAATCTATAATAATAGTGGGATAAATAGAGTAAAAAGAGCTAATTTGAAGAAAAGATGTTCAATATTTGAATCTCCAGAAATTCAAATTGGATTTCATTCAAATTTGGTTTATCATGAAATAACAAATCGTTATTATTTAAGAATTCGTTTATGTTTTGGAAATAAAACATAATATATCTTATAGAATTTCTAATATTAATTTGAAGGTGATACTTGTATGGGTGTATGGACATAAGAACCAATTCATTAAAAAAGCTAAATAGCAGAAAAAGATTAATTAGGTAGATTGATATTGAATCCAAAATAATAGATGTATATTCCTATTTGTTTAAATTATAATCGTGTACCTTATCAAATACTTTCAGGAAGATTTAGTTATGAAATTGCAGATATAGAAGAAGGAAGAATATCTCATTTCATTGTTCCTTGTTTATTAACATAATTCATGAGTTTTAGAGATACTACTATAGATTCCTTTAAAGCAAGATGGGAGTATAAATCCAAAAGTATCTTAAAAACAGAATAAGTACCTTTGAATTCTAAAATCATTAATTCAAAATAAGCTTTTATAAAACATTTTGGAGAAAACAACATTTTAATTTTGAATGATGAACAAAATTTTTTGAATTAATGTAATTAATATTTTAAATAATACTAGAAGGAGAAATAGTAACCACTGAATATGGATTAGTATTTACATTAAGTAGTCCATAAATAGAATTTTTACTGAAAATAATTATATTTCCCAATTTTTCAGTATTATTTCAAATAATACCTTATTCATCCTATTAAACTTAAGCAGAGGCAATTTTACATACATTAATTTTTATTTTTTGTTTACCAGATTGACTTGATATTTAATTTAATATTAATAAATTTTATTTATTAATAAGAATAATTAGGCAGGATCTGTCAATATAATTTTATGTTAATAATGGATTTCAGTATTAGAGACTATTAAAATCTATTTGCTACTTTGACTTTTTCTTATTGTGTTTATGATTAATATTAATAAATAAGAGATTTTCCTAAAATATAAATAATGAATGAGCTAAATATATAACAAAAGATTGGAAATGGGGCATTTAGTTAAGTCTACTTAGGTACTTACAAGAGTAAGTAAGTTGCAATAAAGGTAAGCTTGGAGAAGTAAGTTAGGTGTTGGATAAATCAGTTCCAAGTTATTGTGAATTGTTTAATCGTGAAGTAGAAATATTAGAGTAACTGTAACATCCTAATTTAGTGAAATATATTGCGGTATATTGTTTAATCATTTTCTAAGAGTTATGAAACATTTGACAAATTGTACATCATAATGGATTATGTTGAGGGTTCAAATTTGACTGAATTAAGCAAATCTAATTTAACTGAGTAGAAGATCAAAAGTATAATCAAATAATTACTTATTGTTTTAACATATTTACACAATAAAGACATTACTCATAGAGATATCAAGCCTGGTAATATGAATTATAAATTTAGATAATATCTTGGTTGGACTTGATGGTAGAGTAAGATTAATAGATTTTGGCTTATCTTAACAATCAGAATCTAAAATCTCATATGATAAATGTGGAACCCTTCTTTTTATGGCTCCAGAGATGATATTAAAAATGCCATATCTTAAAAGTGTAGACATGTGGAGTATTGGAATTATACAATATCTTTTGTATGAGAGAAAACATCCTTTTAATTATGAAAATCTTATAGAGAGCATATAATCATATAATGTCAATTTCAATATCATGGATAAATCGGCATAGAACTTTTTCAAAAAATGTGCTGCAGTAAATCCTGAAGCTAGAATGTCAGCTTAACAAGCACTTATGCATCCTTGGATTACTGGAGAGGGAGATCTAGGATAACCTATCACTATACATGATAGAATGGCTATTTTCTAAAATAAATAAAAGTTAATTTGTTTGATAAATGCTTTATCATTCATTAAATATTGCACTTCTTTTGTTAAAGCTATTAGATTAATTATACCTTTAAATGAATAAGTTTCTTAATAAGAAATTACTGTAAGATAATAGAATTAAGATGCCACTCAAAGAAAATCTACATCTAGAATAAAATAAGCTAGATCTACTAGTTAACTCTTTTTTGAGACAAATGTTGCTAGTCCATTAAAGAAATAATCTCCATTTAGAATAATTTAATAAAGATAATCACAAACTAGATAGCTACAACATTCTAATTCTATGTAGCTTGCTCAAATGGCTAAAAGAGGATCATTAAATAAATTACCGTATTATTGTATTTTATAAGGATATTAGCCCACTTAATTCTAGTAATTCACCTATAGAAAAGAGAAGAACTAATATCAGAATGCGTTAACTTTGATTCATAATATTATTTATTAATAATAATTACAAATGTTTTATTATTATTTAATTTCTTATAAAATGTTTTTTGTATTATATATACTCTTTTAGTTAAATAAAATAGAATTTTTAATTAAATTCACTCTTAAGTATACCATTTTTTGAATAATAAAAATTTGTGTTACTTTTTCATAATGAAAATGAAAATAATATTTTAATAAAACTCCCTATTGTGAAGAAAGACAACTTTTAATTAATTTATTTAAATTTAAACATGTATAGAACAAGTAATTCAAGTTATGGAAGTGGCGTTGTTACAAGAAATAAAGAGCAAATGAGTTAAAAAGCATAGGATGTAGATCCAATACGGATTGGAATTGAAAATATAGGAAATACTTGTTACATGTATGCAAGAACAATAAGCATCCTAGAAACTCAATGTTACAATGTTTATTCAATACTCCTGCCATTAGTACAGCTATGAAGTCGTATAAAGACAATAAAAATAGCACCGAGTTGTTTAAACAATTTTATAAAATATGGTTTAGCATTTAAGCAGGAATAGAACCTGAACATAATGAAATAATTCAATTTAAAAAATTAATGAACTAGCATAAAGAGTTTGATAATTTTAATCAATAAGATTGCATTGAATTCTTTCATGTTTTTTTGGACTTTGTAAATACAGCCTTTCTTACATAACCTTTCCTTGGTTAATTGACATATTAAATAAATTGCTAAAATTGTAATAACTCTAGCAAATAAACTGAATAATTTATCAATTTATCTATCTACATAGAGTAAACATGTAGATTGAGTTAATTACTATCTGACTATTTCAAACCAGAATAATTAAACTCTTAGGAGAAATGTAAAAAATGTCAAAAGACTAGTCCATTAATAAGACGAACAAATTTGAGTGCAGCTCCAATAGTCTTAATAATTTAGTTAAAAAGATATGATTCAAGGTAAACTAGATCTAATAATGCTATTGAGATAGAACAAAGTCTTATTTTAAAAGGGTTTTGTGATTAAAGTCCTTCGTATAAATTGTATGCTGTAATTAATCATTAAGGATACAGTATCTATAGTGGACATTACACGTGGTATATTTATTCAAATATCATAGTTTGATTAAGGGGATAAACTGTTGGTATTATTTTAATGATTAAAGAGTTTCGGAATACTCAAATAAGGTAGTGGATGATGAACTATAAAAATCGTAGAATTCCTATGTATTATTTTATCAGAGACAATGAATGTAATTAATATATTTTGTTATCATTATCATTCTCTGAATTATTCATGTTAAGTATTAGGGGCTCTGTCAACTTTTGCAGAATTGAGAGCCAACACTTTCTCTTCTTTTGGTTCAGGTACTGGAAGAACCTTAGGATCATAAGGCCATTTCTCTATCATTTCTTGTGGATTTTCTAAATAACTGCCTTATCCAAAATTGACTTTCAATCCATAGAATTTACCCTAACAATAAAATTATAATATACATAAAACAATGGATGGGATTGATCTTTGATTACATTTAAGTAAAAAGCATTAGGAACAGCATGTTTTACAGCTAACACCTATTCAGAAGGACCCTTAGTACTAAGAATATAAGCCCTGGCTTTTCCTTATGTATAACCGAAATAAACAAATGTCCATTGATATGGTAACAAATCAAACTCATGAGTTACTGGCTCGAAAGTAGGATCTTTCAAGGTGTAAGTACAAGCCACCAATTTTTAAACTCTTGTGAAAACAGCTAAAGTTCTATCTCCAATGAATCTTTCATCAGAACCTTCATTATTAGTAGTCAATCGAACTAATCCTCTTAGATCATCAGGCATTTCTGGTTATAACACTGCATTCTACATCCAAAATCCAAATGAATACTCTAATAAACCTACTTTATTTGTAAAAGAGAATTGGAACTTGTCTTTTTTCTCATTAATATCATCAGGTAAAGTAGTGTCAACAATAGCAACAGGCCATTTAAAATCTTCTGCATCAAGAGCAGGTACAGGTAATTTACGATGTAACTTTAAAACCATATCTACTACTTTTTATCCTTCATTAATAAAAGCTCCAGCTCCTAAGAATATTCTAGGATCAAATAACCATCCATGGAATCCTTTTCTACCAAATTCTTTAGCTCCTAATACAAACTTAGCATAACCAGTCAAAGCTCTATGTTACACTTACAATTCAACATGTTATGCCTTCTATTATTCTCTAAACAACACCATACCATAAAATTATCCACCCTTATATGCAGTATAAATGTATGTCCATGAACCTTCTAATTCTCCATATGGTAATTTTGCATCCACTGCATTTGATGGTTTATTTATATCATAAGTACTAAATTCATAATTACCCAAAATTAGGAAGGCAGACAAAACTCTATCTCCTAATTCACTCTTATCTTAATCTATTTTATTTGCTGATAATCTAAAGATATTATGTTATGGTTATCTTTCAGTTAAAGTAGTAGGGAATGAAATAAGCCATCTAGTCCATACTCCAATTGAATATTCATCAACTGATTCAACTTCTTAATTAAATTCTTAAGTGATTGCCTATTCTGTTTCTATCACAGTATCTTCTTTTCTAAACCACATGTATTTTTAATTGATAGCTATAGCATTATAATTTGGTAATAAATCTTCATATCCTCTTTTCTAAACACTAACAAATGCACCAAATCCATAACAAGCTACCCATTTTTAGATTTCTCCTTAAAATCTCTTTGTATATGGATCCTTAGCTACATAAATACCAGTGTAATGAGGAACAAAATGTTATACTCCTTTGAATATTAATGGTTTATCCTCATCAAATAAATGTAATAAAGCATGAAGTTCTTATATATCTTCATTATATCCCATGTAGATATAAATCCAAGCTCTTTTATTATGACCTAATGGAACATTTTCCTCTAAAAATTTAGCTTCATTCCAATCCTTCAATCCTACAAGTGTATAAGTAGACAATTTAATTGAATCTACACAAATGGATGCAAATAATGTTCTATCACCCTAAGATCTCTTATCATTTAAATGTTCTTTATCATTATTAGTAACTCTAAATAAGATTTAACAATCATTAGCACTCACTCCATTAACATTAGCTGCTTTGAACCATCCACTTATTGAATATTCTCCAACACTTGACCATGGCTCACCTCTTAATTCAGTACCACCTATCTCATCTGTAACAGTTTCTAATTTTCCTATTAATTCTTATTATCCATGTTTCTATTTATGAATATATGCAACAGATAAAGATTATTCTAATGCTTAAGAATTTTCAATAGTCTTCATAACTTCTTATGCTAAACTTAAAAATGATCCAGGACCAAAACTAACAGCTAATTTACTAATTATTCCTTAAAATGAAGGTACATCTGGTTCCCCTCCTATATGTAAAATTACAAAGTCTCCTAAAGGTTTATGTAATAAATCTGAATTTTTTGCTGATAACATTTCTGCTCCATCAAATACAAAGAATGATGCTATTTATTTTGATCTTAAATATCCCATATAAACATAATGCCATTATCCTTCTAATCTTTAATTTGGAATTGTATGTAATTCATTAGGAGCATCATCATTTAAATCATAAGTTGCAAATTAAAATCCATTCTAAATAATATAAGATGCTAAAATTCTATCTCCTATAACAACTTTTCCTACTTCATTCTTTTCATTATTTGTCAATCTTATTAATTACATTTCTAAAGGTAATCTATACTATCTTTCAGGCCAAGATTATAAAAATCTGCACCAAAGTCCAATACTATATTCTTGCATAGATTCAATAGGTTTATCTGGTTCATCATTAAATCTAATTGTTTATGATTAACCAAGTATCAATTTTTCACTCTTTTCCCATTTATACATTTTTTCTTGAGAGAATAATTTAGGACCCAAAACATAAACTGGTAATTATAAGAAATTATCATTTCTAAAGGCTCCTTCTCCAAAATTTATAGTTAATTAAGCCAATCTACTATTATAATTTTCTAAATGACCATCTTTTCCTACAAAAAGAAGATATTTGGATGCCACTGCATGTAATATTGGTTCAAGTCCTTTATTTTCATGAGAATCTGCTCTTAAGAAATACTAAACCTTTCTCTCCTTCTTTGAATAAGCAAAATAAGCAAAAGTCCATATTTCTAATTATTATTTTGGTATATTGCATTCATATGGCACATTCAAAGTTGAATCCTACAATGAATAAGTACTAAATAATGCAGTTCCAATATGTGATAACATCAATACTTTATCACCTATATTTTTAGCATCATCTTCTCCTTTATTTGAAGTCAATCTATATATTACTTGATTTGGTCTAACTTGAGTTTTAAACCATCTAAACCATAAAGACACTGAATATTCTCTTGCTTCTTATTCAATTGTCAATGGATTTGCAATTTTAAGATTTTAAGCATCTTATTTACCAGCAACTACTTCATATTATTTTGTAATAATATTTATCTCTGGTTTTGGATCTTTATTCTTAATTCTAGCCAAAATTCCTTATTTATTTTCTATAAAAGCTCCAGGACCAAGATTAAATCTAACAGTTGTAATTTACCCATTAAAATTCGGATAGAACTTTCCAGCATGACCAATTGTTAATTATAAATAGTTTTACAATAATGTATGGATAACATCCATCTAAATTCCTGCAGTTATATCATTATAAGATGTAAATGCTACAGCATGACCTAGAGTCTATGAAATTCTCTTATAACTGAAATAAAGGTAGGTCCATTCACTTTCAGATTCTAATAAATAAGGAATATTTCCATTCACATTATTTGAAGGAGGTTGTACATTATAAGTTGAAAAATGGTGGATTCCTTTACCTTATAAGATCAAAAGAACTCTATCTCCAGGTTACTCAAAATCTTTATAATCCTTTTAATTTGTCAATCTGGCCAATCCCATCCATTATGGTTATTAATACAAAATACCTTTTTATGCAAAATGCTAGAATCTGGCCCAAAATCCAAAACCATATTCACTAACTCCATGAAGATGTAATTTTTCACTTTACTCAAATTAAACATGTAAAGGTACATCCTTTTCATTAGCAGCACATTCTATAACTTACTCTACATGTTGAGCTTCTTATCCTGCTTATTATAATTTAACATGATCAGTTCCACTCACAAATCCAAAGTGTACTTTGATATTTTCGTCAGAATCAAAATTACCTTCCCTATATGAACCTTCTCCAACATTAATTACCCATGTTTTCATTGATCCTATGAATTTTTACTCCTCTGATGAAATAATTATTGAAAATACTGCAACATAAAAATGAGTAATTTAATCTTAACTAAATTTGCTATCTGTGAATGTAAACTTCACATAGCCAAATGTTTTTTTCAATAATTATGAATAACCATAGTAAATATATGTCCATTAATCCCAATATTCTCCTAGTGACTACTCTTTAGTAACAATTCCAGAACAATCATCTCCTTTACAAGAATATGTATTAAAATTATAGGCCAAATCTGATCGTAATATTTCAAGAGTTTATTCAAATTTTCCATTCAAATCAGCAAGTCTTTTTTAAACAAAGGAAGCAATAGGAAACACTTTACCCATTTTCTATATACCACTCCATTTCACCCATCCTGAAATACTATATTCTTTAATTCCTTAGAATTTATCAAATTAGAATTTTTGGCTTGGTTGTTCAACTGGGAGTCCAATTAATTATTATGTTTATCTGCTTATAGGACGTATTTATGCTTTATCAGGTAAAGTATTTTATGTAAATATCTTGAGTTATTCTGCTGAATTAAAGAAAGCTCCTGGTCCAATTTAGCATTGTATTTTGCACATTTAACCATTAAAGAAAGGTGCTTAGCTTTTTCCAACTACAAATTCTACATACTCTAATAAGAAATCATGCAAAATATCAAAAACTATTTCCTTAATTTCTCCTTCAACTCCAAATTAAACATAACCTTTAGCTATACCCTTATTTGCAACTCTTTTATAACCAAAATAAACATAATTCCATGAACCTTCTATGTCATCAAATTTAATTTCATCTTTTGCTTTGTAAGTATAAAATTCATAAGCTTCTTTACTTAATGTAACTGCCAAAGTTTGATCCTTCTCTTAAAGAGGTCTTTTATTAGCTCTCTAGAGCTTTCCATCAACTTATTCAATTAAATATGGGGCTGTTCCAAATCTAGCTATATTATGAACAGCACCTCTTTGGACTAAGAATTTAGGTAAAGTCTACAGCCATCTAGTCCATAAACCAAATGAATATTCACTCTAGCCATTAAGTCTCAATTTATTATCATCATGAATTAATATCTTATCAACTAAAGGTTTATCAGAATCATATTCAGCATCTCTAATGACATTTGGATCCTATGCATCATCCTAAAATTAAATTGGTTTGACTAATTGATAGACACCAATAGCACCATCTCCATAGAAAAATTATTAACCAAAATTAAGGCTCTACTTAAATGCTCCTGATCCCAAATATACACCAACATATCCTATTTTGCCATTAAATGATGAAATTTAATCATCACCTCCAATAGTAAAATGCAATTTAGTTACAAGTTTATGTTGAACAGGATCAAAAATAACTTCATCAGCTTTTCCTGGTCTGATTAATGCTCCATATGCTTTTATTTTATCGTTATCATATCCAAAATAAACATAAGTCCAAGTATAATTTGGTGCTTCTACTGTTTTAGATATATATGGTGTTCCTTTAGCTTTATTTCCTTAAATTGTATAAGTATTAAAGTAAACTGTGCTTTTAGCTCCTCCCCCATATGTATAATGAACTTCTAATGAACGATCTCCTAATACTCCTTTATTTGGCTACTTTTTGTCTGTTGATCTCAAATTAAATATTTAGAATGTATTTGATTCATCAACTTTTAAATCGTCGACCCATCTAAACCATCCTGCAAAAGCATACTCCTCAATTATTAGATTTGATTCTTATGGATCTAATACAAGAGCATCTTCTTTATTATTTGCTACAAAAGTCTTTGGAGTTGTTAAGATCTCTAAATCAGTTAAACTGCTAACTGCTTGAGGAGCATTACTAATTGTTTTTATGATCTGATTTATTTTTTCTTCACTATCAATAAAAGCTGGAGCATCAATATCATAAAAGATATTTGCAAATTATCCATTAAATCCCTCATATGCAAAATGTTTTCCTCCTATTATTAATTTAAAGTAGTTAGGAGGCACATGTTAACAATTGATTTCAGTCTTTAAAACTTTGCCATTATCACCATATCCTACAACATACCCAACAGCTGACCTTTTTGCCAAACTGTAGGAAAATGTAATGAAATACCACATGCTTTCTAATTCTTCATTCAAGGCTACTACTTAATCTTTTATTTTCTTTTTATCACCATGATCATATGTGGAAAAGACAAAAGTATTTTCTAATAAAAACACTGATAGAGCTCTATCTCCATAAAATGTATAATCTTTATAATCCTAATTTGAAGTTAATCTTGATATAAAATAATATTTTTGAGGTTATCGTGTGTGTTTCTTTGGGAAGTTATCAGTGTATCTTAACCAAAACCCATATCCATACTCATCAGAATCTTAAAGCATTTCTCTATCAGCAAATTCATATTGTTCTGCTGGTTCCCCATCAAAAGAACTTTAAACATATTTAGTTGATACAGGTACAACTACTTTTTCTTTTGCTGGTCTTGTATTAACTTTATGTTTTGGAGGTACATACTATGTTGGTTCATTTGGGTTATATTCTTCCTTAATAGAAGTAATCTTTATTGATTTTTCAAGATCATGCCCTTCTATTTTCTCTTTTGGTTTTTCATTTTAGCCAATCCCTAATGCTTATTTTTCATCCTTTAAGAGATCTTAAACAACACTACCAATTGAACTTTCCTTAGTCTATTAATCTTAGGCTAATTTTTTAGTGTCTTAACTTTTATCTTCTTATTTTTTCTCTTCAGAAGGTTATTAGCTTTATTATTGTTATTATTCTTGTTATTATGATGTTTAAGTATTCTACTATTATTTTTCTCCTTTAACCAATTATTCTTACTATTTCTGTTGTTAATTTTATTGTTATTATTAATTGTCTTATTATTATTATTATTGCTGGTCTTATTATTATTATTATTGCTGGTCTTATTATTATTATTGCTAACCTTATTATTATGATTATGATTATTATTATTATTACTATTATTATTATTACTACTATTATTATTACTACTATTATTATTATTTCTAGTCTTATTATTATTATGATTATTATTGCTAGTCTTATTATTATTGTGATTACTATTGAGATTATTATTAATCTTTGTTTTATTATTTTTCTTCAGGAATGGTATCAGTTTCCTTTTAGTCACCAGAAATTGGTTTATTATTATCTTATTCGCTTTCTGATACATCAGTTACATAATCCAAAAGATCATTCCAATTTGATATCATTAAAGATCGTTGTTATTAAGGTTTTAATATGATACCAGATTATCTAAACACCTTATCAACTGGATCATATTCATAATATATAAATTTATCATCAAATTCTTCATAAAAGATATCCTATTGATAATAATCTTCTATTAAGTTATCATCTTCATTATTGTTATCCGATATCGTCAAATCAATAGAAGTATCACCAATAGCATTAAATAGTAATTTCTTTTGGGTAGATGATTTAGTTGTTGAAGAGACTAAAGTTTCCTTGCCATCTTCTGATACTTCAAATGTTTCCTCAGTTTCTTCCCAATATTCTTCTCCATCCCCATCTCCTCCAGATTTAGTTTTTACTTTTTTTTTTGAATCTCCAGATTTTTTAGTTAAAGTCTTTTATTTTGTTCCTGACTTTGTTGCAGATTTAGTTGAAGAAACTACTTTTTTTTATGGTTTTTTCTAACCTTTTGTTAATTTTGCTTACTTCTATTTACTTTTTCTAAGAGTCTTTTTAATAATTTTCTTAACTATCTTTTTACCCCCTTTACCGTCATCAACTTCTTCATCTACTTCTAGATCAATTTCTTCCGATTCTTCCTATTCTTATTCTTAAGGATTTTAGACTTACTAACCTACTCTACCATCAACTGATGAGCCAACCCCTTCTGTTTTTACTACTTCTCCTTCCACAGCAGGTTCCTCATCATCAGGAGGTATTTCTGGAATAGATGGTTTTTCTTCAACTTTAGGCTCCTCGACTTTAGGCTCTTCAACTTTAGGCTCTTCGACTTTAGGCTCCTCGACTTTAGGCTCTTCGACTTTAGGCTCCTCCTCTTCACCTTTTTATTCTTCTTATGGTTTTATATCTTCTTTCTCATTTTCTTCAGGAGCTTCTTATTCTTCAGGTTATGGTTATTCTGGTACTTCTTCTTCTTCATAATTGATTGGAGTATCATCTTCCTCTCCTTATGGACATCCATCTTCATCATAAATATTTGTTGAACCTGATCCAAAACCTTCATTTTCAATTATTTTCTTTGGTAAATCTTCCTTATAATTTGGATTACCCTGGAATGTTTCTTCATAATTTCCAGCATGTGAATTTGAACTTCCTAATGAATTAACAGTAACAGGTTAATTATTCAAATTATGAGTTATTTTAGCTGAAGAACCGTCAACTGTTGGTACATCTTTATAGTTAGGATTAGATTAAAATGGTTTATCCTAGTTTGCTGCTTGTTGATGAGAAGTTTATTTATCATGAATTGGATTAGATGATTCAGGTTGATCATATTTTCCAGGAGGCAATCTAGTGGAAGTTGATTTATTTTCATCATGTATAAGATTTCCTTATAATGATTTTTCTTGATTAATTGTTTACTAATGGGCTGTTTAATGATCATAAAGAGGATCAGATGATTCTGGTTAATCTGATCTTCCAGGTGGTAATCTAGTTGATTGTTATTTATTTTCCTTTTGTCCTTCTTAATAATTTGGATTTGATTAGAATGGTTTATCTTGATTAGCAGCTTATTAATGGACTGATTATGTATCATGTTTTGGATCAGAAGATTCTGGTTAATCTGATCTTCCAGGTGGTAATCTAGTTGATTGTTATTTATTTTCCTTTTGTCCTTCTTAATAATTTGGATTTGATTAGAATGGTTTATCTTGATTAGCAGCTTATTAATGGACTGATTATGTATCATGTTTTGGATCAGAAGATTCTGGTTAATCTGATCTTCCAGGTGGTAATCTAGTTGATTGTTATTTATTTTCCTTTTGTCCTTCTTAATAATTTGGATTTGATTAGAATGGTTTATCTTGATTAGCAGCTTATTAATGGACTGATTATGTATCATGTTTTGGATCAGAAGATTCTGGTTAATCTGATCTTCCAGGTGGTAATCTAGTTGATTGTTATTTATTTTCCTTTTGTCCTTCTTAATAATTTGGATTTGATTAGAATGGTTTATCTTGATTAGCAGCTTATTAATGGACTGATTATGTATCATGTTTTGGATCAGAAGATTCTGGTTAATCTGATCTTCCAGGTGGTAATCTAGTTGATTGTTATTTATTTTCCTTTTGTCCTTCTTAATAATTTGGATTTGATTAGAATGGTTTATCTTGATTAGCAGCTTATTAATGGACTGATTATGTATCATGTTTTGGATCAGAAGATTCTGGTTAATCTGATCTTCCAGGTGGTAATCTAGTTGATTGTTATTTATTTTCCTTTTGTCCTTCTTAATAATTTGGATTTGATTAGAATGGTTTATCTTGATTAGCAGCTTATTAATGGACTGATTATGTATCATGTTTTGGATCAGAAGATTCTGGTTAATCTGATCTTCCAGGTGGTAATCTAGTTGATTGTTATTTATTTTCCTTTTGTCCTTCTTAATAATTTGGATTTGATTAGAATGGTTTATCTTGATTAGCAGCTTATTCATGGACTGATTATGTATCATGTTTTGGATCAGAAGATTCTGGCTAATCTGATCTTCCAGGTGGTAATCTAGTTGAACCTTAATATTCATTATCATAAGACCAACCACACTTGTTTTTTTTGCTTTTAAGTTCTGCTACTTTTTCTTATAGTTCAGCACTACTTTAAATCCCTTAACATTCATTTAAGTAGATGTTTATTTATTTTTCCATAATTGACAATTGACTTACTATTTTATCTGCCATCAACCCTTTTTCCTAAACATTGGTTATTGCTGATAGTTTTTTCATCTATTATAAGACCTGATCAATGTTAAATTAAGCCCATTGATTTTTTATTTCAACCATAGAAATTTCTCTTATAGACGCTGAAAGACTCTGAGTTATTTAGATAAACATATCTACTTAGGTTTAATTAAAGTACCTTATTAAGCACCATCTAAATATTTAGCTTTATCTACTAATTTAATTATTTATTCAATAATTGTTAAATCCTTCATTAATTGTGGTTTTCGATCAATAATATCTGACCATTTTGATAGTTCCAATATAATAAAGTCGTAAAATTTCGGATCCATTTCACATGTAAACCGATTAGGACTTAGATGCATTGCTTCTTAGAATTTTAACTCTAATTTTTGTTAGTTAAAAGAATACCTCTTCCTAAAGAAATCTAATTTTCCAAATCAGAAGAGTTTGCAAAGACAATAAGTAGCAAGACTAATGAAAATTTATTCATAATAAATATTATAATCCGTTTTTATTTATAATTAAAATAGTTACTTAATACCTATTGTGAAAAAACCTCATATTCTTTTTTATGATAAAGAAGTTTCAATATAAAGTGGAAATTTGATCAATATCATTTGTTAGGAAAGATCTTAAGTTAGTTAACAGTGGATTATTTTAGTTAATTTGAGAACTACATTATTATTGAATTAAGATTTCATTTTAATCTAAAATACTCATGAATGTCTAATCTACTTATTTAAGATTTTGGAAACATTAATAAATTAGAATTTTATGTCTAATTAGGATTAGTTAGATGTGAAAATTTACAAATTTTATTATGGAATTTTACGATTTCAAGCTTTTATTTTTTTCAAGAGGATGATGGAATGTAATTTATGATTTAATAATTGGTTGCAATTAACTTTTAATTGTATTAGTGCATTTTTAACTATTTTTTCTTACAATGATTTGATTTATTGAATAAATCATTAGTAATTCATCATCTTTGATTCTCATTTATGTTAAAGCATACTTTCTTTATAAAGTATTATATTAACTTCTTAACTAAAATTTGATTCCTTAACAAATAAAAGAAGTTTATTAATCTCTCAATGCTGATAAATCATTGAAGGGATTTTATTTAAATTTTATATTTGGAATTAATATGGAAACATTAAAAGATGAGAAATGATTTATCTTAAGGGATTTTGTTGGTTTTACAACTTTTATTCTTTATCTTTAAGTGACAATCAATTTATTTTATATTCTAATTATATTTCGATATCGTTTATATGAAAGATATTTAGATATTAGAAACTTGTTTTCATTTGATTAAAACTAAAATTAGTTTCTGAGCAATAAATTTTTTTTATAAAATCCCGAATTTTTATTGGTTTTAATATATAATTCCCTTATCATTTATTTGATTCCTTCCAAAAATTTCTGAGGAAACAATAAATTTTTTTTATAGTTATTTTATTATTATCATTAGATTAGTAAGACATTTAGCCTAAACTTAAATTTCTAATAATCAATACTAACCAAGTTTTTTATTCAATAATATAATTATGCATATCATTATTATATATGTAGACTTAGACAAATATTATACTAATTTCAAGATATTAGCTTTTTATAAATCAATCTCTTAAAATTATATAGATTAAATCATCATCACTTAAATTCCTTGAAGGAATATATTTTTTTGATTATAGTGCTATATTATTAAGACTAATCAGCTAATTCTCTTTAAGCTAACAACTTTATAAATTATTGAAATGTATATCATTTTAATTTAAGTATGATATGCTAGGAAAGTAAGTCTTTATCTTATTATTTCTATCATCAATTTAATTATGATGATTGCTTTATTTGTTAATTTTACAGATCTTTGATAGTTTCTATTAACTCTTCTGTATATTTTAATAAATCTCCTCTAAAAATTTCTTTGTCGTACTTCCTAATCATTTTTATTATTTCAAATCTTCATCTTTAAGCAAACATTAGTGTTTAAAGGGTTTTATTAGTGCTCTTAGATTATTTTTTAATATGCTATTAGTGAAATATAAGATTCTCCAGTTAAATATTCCTAGAAAATCCTAGTTATTTTTTATTATCTATATGGAATAAGTAATTAATTAAGATATCCTAAAGCAACGATAAAATTTCATACAACCAACAAAAATTCATTTTTATAGGCGGCTTCATCAAGTCTTAAATCTTTATATAATTAATTACTTTTCCTTTTGGTTACCTGCTTAATCAATAAAAGTAACTTTTAACAGATAAGTTTACCTTAAACTTACATTTTGGCATAAAATTGTGAAAATTTTGTTATCTTGAAGAATTAATATTAAAGACCTCAGATGTCAAAACCCTACTTTTCATTTGCGAACTTTGCCTTTTCCTTAAGTAAATTTCAGCATTTCATTCTATTTATTAACAATATTAGAATTAATATGTAAGGACTTCTCAATATTCTATGTTATAAATAATAATTAATAAGAATCAAATTTTCCAACATATCTAAAAGTCGATTGTGAGTTACATTAGAAAGACTTCTTCCAAGCATATTTATATCTAACAAGATTACCTAATTTGGTAAATACTTAATTTTATAATGAGTTTAAGTAAGAAAGCCAAGTTTTTAGAACAATCTTCTTATCAAATTAAATTTTTAAGTTTAAGGAACTAGTTAATTGATACGATTTGATTATGGAATTCCATAGCTAACTCATATTTCTCAAAGGAAAAATCCTATTCAGATTGGATAATTAGGAACATAAATGATATTTTTATTTAGTATTTTGTTTATGCTCATGGATAATTTCTCAAGATGAAATTAAAATGACAAAAAATTTGATATATATGCAAATAAATTAACTTATAAGATTTATGAGGGCCAGATTTTAATAAAATCTGAATGAACAGAGCAATGCTCTGACCCATATTCACTCTTACAAAAGATAGTTTAAGTCAGGAAAAGCAAGTCTGTCTTCTTGGGTTAAATCTAACTAAAGAATTTATAACAGATATTATACTTGACACTTTGAGTTCCATGAATATCCTAGTGTGGCATCTATAAGGATATGGCTCTAGAAATATCATGTCCTAGAATCTTCTCATATTAATGGTGCTTAGAATTTAGAAAGCTAGATTTTGGGATATCACAATAAAGATTAGGGTTAAAAACCTCATCCTCATCAAAATTAAAAGATTAAAAAAAATTTTAATATTGATATTAGAAGTTTATTTATTTGAAATTTTTAATAAGCCACTGTTTATATTTATGATTTGCTTGTTGCTCTATTTTGTTTGATATAATTTCCTATTACCAAAAATTAAGGTTGCATAAATACAGACATTATAGATGATGTTTTACATGTAGCTAAGTATCATTTAGAGAATATAATTTTGTATAAGATTCTCATGTTTTTTTTTTAATTCTGTTTGTTATTCTGTATAGGTGATGTATTTGATGTTCAATTTAGGTGAAGTGACTAGTCAATATTAAGAAATAAAGGTCTTTATTTCATTTTATTAATTAATGTAACCAAAAAAATCGTTTCTTGTTAGTGCACCAGGATCTAAATAATTCAATATAAAGTCGTATGAAAGGCCAGGTTTCACTGAAGATGAAATTAAAGAAATCAAGGAAGCATTTGATATTTTCGATGAAGATGGGTAAATTATATCATTAATTTTAAGTGGTGGAGAAATTGATCCAAGAGAATTAAAGACAGTAATGGCTTCTCTAGGATTTGCAACTGATGAACATTTGCTTAACAATTTAATTGATATAGCTTAAACTAATAAATCAGATGGAAAAATAGATTTTGATGAATTTTTAGATCTTATGACTGTTAGATTATCAGATATCAAATCTAAAGAAAATTTAAAAGAAGTTTTTGATCTTTTAAAACCGAATGAGAAAGGTTGCTTATAGTTAGAATCTTTAAAGCAAATTTGTCGAGAAGTTGGTGAAAATATAGAGGAAAATGAATTGAATGAGATGTTAAAGAGAGCTGACTTTGATAAGGATGATGTGGTGAATTTCGAAGACTTTTATAAAATTATTACTTTTTAAAAATGAACTTGATTTTCATATATAAAAAGTCTATGTTAATAATCATATAAATTTATTTATTACTTTTAATATCAAAAATCAATAGAACCTGAAAACATAAGAATTATATCTTTTAAATATTTGTCCTGTCTTTTTAAGCGAAAAATTCATCAAAATTATTGAATTAATTGATTCAGCTTTTCAAAATTATCAATTCTGAATTTTTGTATTATAATTATAATAAAAATATTGATATTTAAAGTAGTAATTGATGATGCCTTCATTGCAGAAGCGTAGAAAAAAAGAATTGAAAAAAACCCAATTAATTTAAAAATAATATTCACTCCTTCATATAGTTGAATTTCAGTCAATTGTTGTAGGTCCAGTACAAGATTTGGCGGATGTTATTGAAGAACTTCTTATAAGAACTTGAAGAAGAATTATGTGAGATATCATTTAACTTCTAATAAAAATTTTGAACATATACTATTAATTATTAAATTTGAAAAAGATATTTTGTATCCCATAATTTGAAAGATTATAAAAAAACTTTAGATAACTTTCTTTTCCCAAAAAGAGAATAAAGAATATATTTAAGAATACGAAAAAGGCTAATAGAAAATATAGGATGAAGAAATACTTATAGAGAATCATAAATTGAGAGTTTTGAATTTTAAGCTGTATGATTAAAATAATGCCATAGTTGCTGTTAATTGTTATATTTTGCTTATTTGATTAAAATAAATCCTATCTCTAAATCATTGCATTTTTTAATTCATTGAAAAAATATTGAATAAAACATTTAATTTAGATCAAAGGTCTTATTACATAAGTTAGAAATAAACACATAAGCAAAAGCAATATCTACACTAATTTTAAGAATGAATTCACTAGTATTCTCTAAATCAGTGAATATTTAAGTTTGAAAAAAATAATAGTAATTTATAAACATTTAGCACAAATATTATTTATATATCTTAAAATAATTTTTTTTTTTAGTCGAATATACTTAACTATATAAATTTGATAATCATAGTTTTGAATTAATTTTGATAACTTTACAGCTCTATACTTTTAGCTTATTTTGATGCTTCTCTTAAACAGGACTCAATTCTAAATCTGATAAAGGTTCTACTGGACTATCCTTGGGGCTATCCTTTTTAAATACATTATTACTGAATTCTAGGGGAATCTGGCTCTTTATTAAAATAATTTATGTATTCTTAATAGGTCATGGCTGATTGTTGCCTTAATCTAATATCCATATTTCGATTTTATATAAATAATTATGAACTTTTTATAATGAACACTATTATAAATTCTCAATCTGCAGTACTATTATTATAATAAAGGATGTATTCATAATCAGATTCAAATATTTATATTCCAAATTATTTGTCTTGAACAATCATTCTAATCTCTAAACAATTGAAGAATAATTAATCAATTTTATAAGTTCTAGGTATGGTATAAATAAAAAATCTGTTAAGCGATTAGAAAATATATTCAATTTTATTGATCCTCCTTAAATATTTGCTATTTCAATATAAAATGCCCATTTAAACTAACATGACTAAATTTTATATAATGGCCTTAAATTAAATAATCACAATAAGGGTATATAAAAAAAGATTTCAATTTAAGTATTCCTTCATTTTTTCAATTCATTATAAAGACAGTATGGGATTATTTTTAAAGAAATTTTGAATATATAAAAATAAATTATTAATTTTTTGTTAATGTTATATTTTATAACATTATTATTCATGTATAATAATATTTGAATTTATCAATTGTCTTGCTTTAAAATGTTAATATTATAATAAACACATAAGGTATAGTTTATAAAATAAAATATAGATAGTAAAATATATTTAAGATAAATAATAATAAATATCATGATTTAAAAAATTGATCACTTTTTGATCAAATAATAAGATGAGACTAGTAATAATAATCATGCTAGGCAAACTTTTATTCTTTTTTGAAAAGGTGTTCGTTCGAAATTTTCATTTTGAATAAGCAGAATGCTACATTTAAACTATCATTTAACTGAATTTAATGGGTTTGGTGAATAGAAACATAAAAAATTTAGAGAAAAATGTTAATAATGTTTAGATTACGCTAAATGAACCCTTACAGATTGAATGATTGCAAACTTACACTCAATGAATGTCTTGAATAAATTCACCGTATTGATTATTTAAAAAGAATAGGTGAATATTACTAATAATAGTTGAGTTTTCTAATAAAATGATGAAACATATTACTTGTAAAAATGAACTAAAAATATATTATATTTTGTTTAAATTTTAGATATTTGATTCAGAACCTAAATATAAATATAAGGCAGCTCTAAACAAAATTATGTTGCAGCTAAGGATGCAGTGTGTCATATTAATATGAATAGAAGAGTGTATAGTATAGATTTACACCTCAGGTAGAAACAGCATATTTACTATAAGAATTAAAACAATATTTCATTCTGGTTTATAAGGATTACTTAAAATAAAAAATAAGACAAATGACAATTTATTATACCTGGCTATAGATGTTTTGTAAGTGTTCTACTTTCTTACATGAATTAATTATAGAAAGAAATTAAAGATTCGATAAACAAATAATATTCTAGATATATATATATCTACCATATATTAATAGAAATATTTTTAATAGATGTTATATATTATAAATAAAAAATAATTTTAATAAGGTAAAAGTATAGCAGCTATTATGAATATATAAATTGATTTTAAAGATATATAAATAAAAAATGCTTGATTAGATTATTCTAAAAATCTAAAATCAATCATATGAAATATCTAATCTGATTTTATATTTTGAATTAGGATATAATACAATTTTTATATTATTTTTTAATAATTCATATTATATCATTTTTATAAAAAATTACTTGTATAAAATTTGCGTATTATTTTTATCATCATAACCAACTTAAATAAATCCATTGTAATTATTAATAAATAGTAAATATGATCCGATTATAAATCCATTATAAGACAGAATTTGGTTAGGCCTTGTATATTTCAGGTAAATCAAAATATTTGGGACAATGGAATCCTGAATAAGCGATTCGAATGATTTGGACATAGGTATATATTTAACTTCATATTTAGAACAATATTTGGATAGCTGAGGTAGCTTATCATATGATGGAATATAAATATTTTATTTCTCAGTATGATAAAGTTTAAAAAATATGTTGGGAATCAGGGCCTAACAGAGTTACTAATAAACATTCAATAGATGTGTGGAACCACAGAAAAATATATTTTCAATGTGTAAACCCATAGAATTTCGATATTTATATTTCTGGATCGTAAATTTCAATGGGTCAATTTTAGAGAAGAGTCCGAATGAAAAATAAGGATGGGATGTCGTAATAAAAATTTGTTATCAATATTGATGACTGTTAAATTCAATATTAATATCATATTGTAACCAAAAGTGAGTTTTCTAGTCCAGTTTATAAAGTGGACTTAAATTGTTAATGTAAACAGTAGTAATATCTAATTTTAGAATAATATTATAAAGATGCTCTACTCATATTCTCGGATGGACTTACAAAACTAAAGTAGATGATATTTTAGCTAAATAAAAATATCTGTTATGGTTATGTTCCTTTAGAAAATGAAGATTATTAAGCTTTAAAAAAAGCTAACTTAAAAACAATAATTGAATTTTGTAATACAAAAGAATAGAGTCTACTTGAGCAGCAAACAAAATATGAAGATATAGTACATTTAATTGTGAATCTCTATCATTTTAAATAGGAAAACTTCGCAAAGAGGTTACTCTAACTTATTCAAGTATTAATTCAAAAATATTAAGTAATTAATTAAATATATTATAATTTCTAGTTACTTTATATATGCAATAACTCTCTCACTCATTTAAGAAAATACCTATCTGTTTATGAGAAGCTCTCTTTTGGTCCCTAAAAATGAAAAAAAAAAATAAAATTAATTTTAATGATATTACTTTAAATAATCACAAAAATTATAAATCATTTTAAACCAATTAAAGTAGTTTACTTATATTCCCAATACTAAGAGTTGATATCAACCCAATTATTTAAATCTTTATTAATTTGATCCCCTTCATTATAATTCAATAGTATCTCTTATTCTGGTTAAATATCTTTAAGAGCATAAATTGCTAATTGAAATTTTCCTAAAATGAAATTATTTAAATACCTGAAGAAAATATCTGTCTAGTTTTACAATTCATTAAATCTTTACTATTATGATTAATAAATCTACTTTCATTTCCACAGAATCTACTTTCTAATGTATATTTATCTTCATTTAGTTAATAATTATAAAATGTAAATGTATCATCAAATTAATCTCGAATTTCATCTTCATCATCAATAAGTACTTCTCCTATATATAAAATTATTAATTCATCCTTCATTATATAATTTCTTGCGAATACTCCAAGTCCATTACAAACTCCTGATCTTCCTAATAAAGTAGGTTATACATTGTTAATTAAAATCTGGATGTTAGAACAAATAAAATTTGAAGAATCACTACAACAATTGCATAAGAAAGGATCACATTCAACATTGTCGATTCTACAAGAACATTTACTATCAATAGAACATCTATCTTTGCAAGTACATCCTTTTAATTTTTTTGAACACCAATCTTACTAACAATCACAATATTTTGAACAAAATTAATCACAATTACAATTTTCACATTTATAATCCTATTTATGACAACATGGAATATATAAATTTGCATTATTAAATGGATAATTAATTAAAGCTGCTTTATCTTGATTTTCTTGTATTTATTTTATTGATTATAAATATTATTCTTTAATTTTATCGCAATGATATCTTGCTTATACAAATATTGATAAACAATCTTTATTATAAATTTAAGCTAATAAACATGGATCTCTATCAATTATTATAGATTAATATTCTTCACTAAATGAACTATTATCAGGTTTCTTTTTTAATTATTCAAAATTATTATAATTTTTATAACATTTTTCACCACAATTATTTTAGTGATTAGCTTTTAAAATATCATAATACTAAAATTATTTCTTTGTACTTCCTTTATAATTTAAAATACTACAAAATTCTAAGAAGTTTCTTATTTATGCCAATTTATTTATAAATGTACATTAACATTTATTTCTGTATTATGAACATGAATTACAAATAAATGCTAAATCTTCTAATATATATTAATTTGTTCTATATGATTTAAATGATAAATTCTAAATTGCAGTTAAATCAAATTGTTAAATAAGATTTATTTTTTAAAATATAGTTTGTTTTACTACTGAAAATTATTTGTTTTATAATTGTAAATAGATTTGTATTAAAGAATTTAAATTTATTTCTATATTTACATTCTTTTTAATTATTTATTTTTATAGGTATTCTGATATTTCATCAAAAGATAATTTTGATATATTTTCTTTTTCAATTATATATAAATATTAAGAATATATTTAAACTAGAATTTAATTAAAATAATCTTACTAAAGTCCATTTGATTTAGTGCATATTTCTTATTAAGCATTATCATTTCATTAATACCTTCCTAAGATCTCCATAATTCTTTATTCACTTTAAGAATGTCAAGTTTATATTTTTCTCTTAATTCTGAAGTAAAATTATACTTAAAATTTAGATCTTGTGTTTCTTATCTCTATTTTAGATACACATTTATACTTTTATATTTTGATCTATTTTTAAATAATTTGTATATTAATGTATTAATTATGGCGCAATATTGTGAATAATAACTTAATTTTCATTTGTTCGATATCCAGCCTATTAATCAGAAAAGGATAATAAATTAACTCCTTTTTTTTAAATACTAAAATCGGAATTCCATTAAACTTTAGGATATTTAATTAGTTTAACATTTCTACGATTAACTTTTAAAAACTAATCATAAAGTTAAATTTTACATTTTCAATTTGTGGTTTTAAGAATTATTTCATCTTTGAAGCTATTTATTCTAGAGTACTATTGTCCTCTATTTAGATTTAAAATAAATCCTCTATATTAACAGAGCTACTCTACTTTAGATTATAGTTCCAAAATGAATCAATTTCTTCCAATTTTACATCAGTTGAAGTATAACATTATAAATTTTATAATTAGCATTATTGACGCAACTTTTTAGTTTCCTAATCCTTGTCCATTCAAAAAATTAGTTTGAAAATTTTAATATTTTGTCTAATATTTAGAGAATATAATTTTTAGTTAAAATATTTAGAGTTTGTATGTTTTATAATTAAATATATAATAAAAAATAATGCATTTGTAATATGAATCAATTTTTATTATTTATAACTAATTTAATTAATTACCAATTTTTACTAGTGTTTAAAATTCATTAAGTTCTTATTACCATATTTAAATAATGGTTAATGATGATATTTTATTGAATTTGCATAATTATAGAGCAAACATTTATGAAAATATCAGTAATTATTATTTCTCAAAAAAACATTTTACGAGACGGAGTTATTTAGAATTCTTTAGGTAACCCTCTACTAGGACTTTTATAAAATGTAAATTCCATATGATTTGGACTTTAAAGTCTAAAATTTGTTTTTGACTGTTAAATATCTCCTTAATGAGGTATATGAAGACTTGTAACTCTTTTTATATCTGTTCTTTCATCAATTAACATTTCTATTAATTTATTTTTCTTATCATTCTATTCTTTCAATTTTATGTTCTCTTATAGTAATTAATTAATTATTTTTTCTCTGTCATGATTTTATCCATTTTTTAATGAAACTTTATTTGTTAAGCAATTTACTTATATTTAATCTGTAGCATAAGTTAACTGATGTTTACTACTCTAATAACTAATAACCCTTATAATTGAATACCTTATTTATTTTGCCATTATTTGTACTTGTAAAAATTTCTAATTTTTATATAGTTTTAATATCATGACCTCTACTAGTAGGATGACATTTATTAGTTTGAGGAGATGTTATTTTCTTTGCAGACATTATATTTTTTTTAAGATTTTGCAATTAAAATTATATTATATATATATAATTATTAGATTCATTGCTTTACTCATATAAAATATTTTTTCTTACTACAAGGTTGAATTTAGAATTCTTTAGGCAATCTTAGTTTATTCTCTTAAGTCTTAGGACTATAAAAAGTGAACTTATATAAATCATCAATAACTTAGGATGATTTCAATTAAGGCATAAAAGGGAGAATTTATTTATCCTAATTTGGTTCTGTGTTTATATTCCCTTCTTTTTTTATTGCATGATAAGTTTTTGAAGATGATACTAATTCTTTTATGGCAATTTACTTTCGAGACTTTATTTGATGGAATTTTATGATATTTTCATTCAAAAACTTACCAATTAGTTAGGATTATAATGATTTTCCTGCTGTTGAGTTAGTCATTACTAAGAATAATAGAATGCAGTTTACTATTTTATTCTGAATATTTGACTCTTCTCAAAGTTTATTTTGGTATATAAAACACATTTTCATCTAATTGTTAATCTAAAATTTGCTGGCTTTAAGTATTCTAATGAGATTTCTTTAATTTTAAATTATTTGGAAGCAGTAATTTATTGATAGTTATATTTGACATAGATTCTCTATTATTTCTGACTCTTGTTCCAACAGGTGTTGAGTTCATATGTATATTCAGACTTATCTGAATTAATATAATAAATATAAATTTATAGCTA